CTTTACAAACAAATATAGGAAATCAAAAACATTTTATATCAAAACAACCTTTACCAACCACAACTGAATAAAAATATATTCACTAATAGGGCGTTTGAAGAAAGGATTAAAAATTAATTGGAGGCTAAATCCTAAAGAACAAATCATAAAAATAACTGGATAAAGCCAGAGCAGTCATGAGGGAGAAATTTATCTATAAAAACTTTCATCAACAAAAAAGAGAAATAATGAGTAAATTAATTGGGCATGAATATTTTTTTAAAACCTACAAAATCAACAAATAAAAAAAACACTAATAGAAATTCTAAAAATCAAAGATGAGATAAACAAAACTGAAAGTGAAAAAAACAATCAAATAGATAAAGCACTAGCTTATTTTATTTTATTTTAGTTTTTAGGCAATTGGGGTTAAGTGACTTGCCCAGGGTCACACAGCCAGTAAATGTCAAGTGTTTGGTCTGAGGTCACATTTGAACTCAGGTCCTCCTGACTTCAGGGCCAGTGCTCTATCCACTGAGCCACCTAGCTGCCCCTTACTTGATTTTTAAAGAATAAAACCAAATTACCAGTATCTAAGTGACACCCAAATAAGGTTCATTTTAACTCTAAAATTCCAATGCAAAATACGAAAAATTTAGGAAAACATGGAAATACTTGTACCAACTGGTAAGAGTGAAAAAAAGAAAAAACAAAAGGACGATACACAATGGTTACAACAATGTAAACAAAGACACCTTCGAAAGACAACTGAACTTTAGTCAAATATAGTAGCTAACGTTGGTTCCAGGAGATTGAAATTAAAACACACTTCCTACAACTCCAGAAGTCTTTGTAAGCACCTACTGTCCGCAAGGCCCTGGGCTAAGATATCTTAATATAATGATAAACCTGAGGTCCTTGCATCCTGCTGAGAGGATACAGCATTTTCAGAAACAAGTATACATGATATAATTTGAGAGGTAAGAACTAGAGGTATTAGGGAAAGTAATCTACCAAAGAAGCCAGGGATTATTTTAAGAGGCAAAAGCTAGAACAGAATGCATTCCGACCACAGTGGTCAGATTCCACGAAAGCCCGATGACTGGATATGGAATGTCCAATTCCGGGAACAAGTAGACCAACCCATTAGAACAAATGGGAATTTCAATGTACCCCTCTCAGATAAGACAAATTTAATCAAAAGTTAAAAAGATAGCAAAAGCTGTTTCCATAGGCCAACCTTTGATGATGACCAACAGACTTGAACATGTTTTGTCTGTGGTTCTAACTATTTCAAGTGGACACTTCTAATAAGAAAAAAGGATGAAGGGTTGTTTCTCTCCTTCTTCATGTCCAACTCTTGGAATCTAGGACTTTCTTCAAGGTTCAGCTCAAGTGACACTATAATACATACATACATACATATATATATGTGTGTGTTGCCTTTCATCTTTCAATGTTCTTTATATTTGGAAAACAGAGATCTTGCCCTCCTTGAATAATAAATTTGCTATCTGCATAACTATTGTATCCCAAGTTCCTTTATATCCCCGGGGCCTAAGCACAGTATGTTTAACAAATGTTTCCTGACATGAGTTGAGCAGGAAAAAAAAGATACCTTTTATGAAGACTAGATGGAAAAGTGAGCAGAAATATCAGGAACTATGATACATACAGTGGAAGCACACAAGGCAAGCTGAGAAGATGAAGCAAGAGTGGTGCTGAATTCCAAGCGGTTAGGAAGGGCCCTAATAAACTAGACAGATGTTTAATTAAAGCCAAGACATGAAGGGATCTTGAGTTCATAATGTATGACAACAGGCAGAAGGAAAGGGAGATTCTTCAATTGGAGAAGAGAAGCCACATGTGAGGACACATCAGACATCTTCTAGTATTAAAAGGGCCGTCATGTAGAAGGCAGCTAGGTGGCACAGTTGATAGAGTGTCAGGCCTGGAGTCGGGAACACTCACCTTCATTAGCTCAAATCAGCCTCAGATACTTACTAGCAGTGTAACCCTTGGCAACTCACTTAACCCTGTTTGCCTCAGTTTCCTCATCTGTAAAATGAGCTGGAGAAGGAAATGGCAAACCACTCTAGTATCTTTGCCAAGTAAACCCAAAATGGGGTCACGAAGAGTTGGACACGACTGAAATGACTGAACAACAATAACCTGGAGAAGAGCTATGATGCTTGGCCCCAGAGGGCAGAGCTCCAGGCAGAAGGTATGAAGAGCTGGTAAATACATCCCCCATGTGAGCTGTCTAGAAGAGGAATGAATGGGCTGCCTTGAAGGTGGTGGGTTCCACCTCAGTGAAGGTATGAAAACAAAGGCTGAACGCTTGGCAGGTAGGACATGGAATGGACTCTGAAGTCCCTTCCCATGCTGAGATCATGTAATTCTTTCTCATGTCAAGTCTTCAGTGGCCTAATCTATAAAAGCAGATGGTAGAAAGGACATCTAAGGACACCTAGATCTACTATTCGGTGACCCTAGGGAAACTGGCTGGTTGAAGTAAAGGTGAATATACATGAGAACACTGCAGCTGGACAGATGCAGGCTTTCTCCCTGAGCCCAGGAAACTCTGAGGCATGGACCTCAGCCAATACTTGAAAGACACTGCCCCTGAACAACCAGAAGACTGCCGCTCTTCCTTGCAGTGACTTCCATCTGCCTGGTTTTCAATCACCCACCTGGAAAGGTGCCGCCTGAGACAGCTGGAGTCCATGGTGCTTCTCCTCTCTCCAAATGGGAGATAATACCTGGTTTGTTAACAGCCAGTCCTGCTCAGGGGGAAGAAATGGGAAAGTGCTTTGAGCAGTCTCTCTGGGTCCTAGTTTTCTCATCCACAAAATAAGGGTCAGGAATTAGATAATTTCTAGGGTCATCCTTTCCAACTCTAAATTTGGGATCCTATGAGCCCCAATATCACACATATTCTAGAATATTCCTGCCCACCAAGCCAGCTGAGCCCTGGAGACACCACACAGCCCCTAGCACATGAGAATGTGAAGCCCCAATAAGCAAATTTGGAGTCAAAAATGAAATCTGCCTTTACCCAGGGAGACCAGGTTCCTGTAGTTCTCCAGCATCACATCCCTGAACAAGTTCCTCTGAGCAGGGTCCGGTTGCCTCCACTCCTCCGGGGTGACCTCCACAGCCACATCCTCGAACGTCACTGATTCCTGAAACATTCAACAAATTCCTGGTCACGCAGGAAATCTCTTTCACATGGGCCTTGGGGAAGACCACAAGTTGTCTATGCAGGGAATATTTTTTT